GACCCCGCGGGTTCCGCTCCCGCGCGGCCCGGTCCGCGCGCTCCGCGCTCCGAGACGTACTTTTCCCCACGTCCAAAGTGGGGTTCTCATTTTCTCTGCCCCCCCCCGCGCAGGTCTCTCAGACCTCACCTCACCCCCCCTCTCTTCCCCGCCATGTCTTCACACTTACCGTCACCATCATCATGGTCATCATCACACCATCATCATCATCACTACCACCATACCATCACGACCATCGGTCATCATCATCATTACCATCATCATCATCAGCGTCATCATCACTTCATCATCATCATCATCATCATCATCATCATCGTCATCACCATCACTGGTCATCATCATCATCATCATCATCATAATCATTATCATCGTCATCATCATCATCATCATCATCATCATCATCATTACCACCACGACCACAACCATCGTCATCATCATCAGCATTATCATAACCATTACCATCATCATCCCATCATGACGATCGTCACCCCTCCTCATTCACATCATCACTCTCACAGCATCATCATCGCAGATACACATGCACTCATCTTAGGAAGTCTCAGTCGGGAGCCTCGTCTGTGAGTGAATTACGAGGAAGTCTCAGGTGGGAGCCCCCTCTGTATGGGGCCCGCAGATCATATTACGAATCCGAGCGGGTCATCGGAAACCTGCAGCTGTTGTCATTTTGGAGCTCCCCAGTCGGGAAAATTGTGGAAGTCTCGAGCGGAAGCCTGGTCTGTGAGTGAACTGTGAAGAAGTCTCAGGCAGGAGTTCCCTCCCTACGGTGCCCGCAGATCATATTATTAATCCGAACGGGTCATCGGCACCTTGTAATTGTCGTCACTTTTGGGTTCCTCAGTCCTGAATATGGTGGAGGTCTCGAGCGGGAGCCTCGTTTGTGAGTGAATTGCGTGGAAGTCTCAGGGGGGAACCCCTTCCCGATGGGGCCCGCAGATCATGTTACAAATTCGAGCGGGTCATTGGGCACTTGAAACTGTCGTCATTGTGGGGTCTTCAGTCGTGAAAATGGCGAACGTCTCGAACAGGAGCCTCGTGGGAGCCCCCTCCCTACGGAGCCCGCGGCTCATGTGATCAATCCGAGCGGGCCATCGGAACCCTGTAGTTGTCGTCGTGGTTGGCTTCTTGAAGCTTGAGTGTTGAGAGAGTTTCGGGCGGGAGCGTCGTCTGTGACTGCATGGCGAGGACGTCTCAAGCGGGTGCCCCCCTCCCCAGCTCATGTCACCAATCCGAAAGGGTCATCGGAACCTTGTGAATGCCCGCAGTGTTGGTGTCTTGACGCTTGAAGTTTGAAGACGGCGGAAGTCTCGAGCGGGAGCCCCGTCTGTGAGTGAGTTGCGAGGAGGTGCGTGCGGAGCGTGCTGGTCCTGCGGCCGCCCGCGCGAGAGCTCCTGGAGTGCGGGTCGCAGCTTCCCTGCGGAAGGCGCCCAGGGAGTTCGACAAAAGAGCTGGGAGTTCCAGGGTCGATGCGGAGCAGCTCGCGGCTGAGCCGGGTTTCGCGGCGCCTCCCGCGTGTGGTAGCCCCGAGGCGGGCCCATAGCGGTTTCGCTGCCCAGCAGTTGCGGCCGCCATGCAGCCAACTTGACAGTAAGGATGCGCGATAAGGATGCAAGCCCTTTGGACTCCCATGTCGAAGCTCTTCGAGCGGGGCTGGCCGTCAAAAGGGGTTCAGGATGGGCCTAAGATGCAAGGATGCAAGGGTTTTTATCAGGGAAGATTACCCATCCTTATCATCGGTTTCGATTGTACCCCCTCGTCAAATTTCCCTCGCCCTGAATCCAGGGTTCATTTCGACTCCTCCGGTTCGATTCGATTCGATCTCGACGGCTTCCGATCCCGATCCGATTCGGGTTCGGATGCCGATTTGGATGCCGACTTCTCAGTGGATGCGTTTTTCAGCCTGCCGATTTCTGCCGATCCGACTGCTTCCGACTCGGCTGCCGGCAACCGCCGACCCGATGTGCTCCGATCGCCGCTTCGACTTTCCGCCTCGACTCCGGGTCCTCCTGCCTGCATCGGGGGCGCCCCAGAGGGGGGTGAGGACCAGGGGTGTTTGTGTGTGTGTGTGTGGCGATCGATGTCTCCCCAATTAGTGCTTTGCGCGGCCCGCCTAGCTCTTAACCGGAAGAGGCTCGCTCTCGACCCGCAGACCAAAAAACAAATGTGCGTGGCGATCGCGGCCGGGGCCACGGCATCTCCCGGACGTCGTGGCCGCCTCTTGCTCCCTATAAGCACGTTCCGTGGTCCCCCACGCGTCCCCTCGCGTGCCCTGGGCCACGCTGCGCACCCCCGGGCCCGCCCTTCCCCCTCCTCCTCCTCCCCCTCCTCCCCCTCCTCCTCCTCTTCCTCCTCCTCCTCCTCCCCCTCCTCCCCCTCCTCCTCCTCCTCCCCCTCCTCCTCCTCCTCCTCCTCCTCCTCCTCCTCCTCCTCCTCCTCCTCCTCCTCCTCCCCCTCCTCCTCCAGATGCTCACCAGGGCGACTCTCTCTCAGGCGGCGGCCCCGCAGAGGTCCCGGCCCCTTCCCCTTGGGCGGGTGCCTCGCCCCGGCTCCGTGCTCGGTGGCCCGAGAGGGGGCCCGAGAGCGGGCCTCCGCGGTGCCGAAGGGCGAGGGGGCATCGCTGGCCGAGAGAGCGACATCGTGGGAGGCCCAGGAGGAGGAAGAGAGGGAGGAGGAGGGAGGGAGGAGGAGGAGGAGGAGGAGGAGGAGGAGGAGGAGGAGGAGGAGGAGGAGGAGAGGAGGAGGAGGAGGAGGAGGAGGAGGAGGAGGAGGAAGAGGAGGAGGAGGAGGGCAGGAGGCCCGTAGGACATGCCCGACCCAAGGCCGGGAGCTCTGCGCGGGCCGCGCGGGCCTCTCGCGCAGCTCCGCTGACCGCGGAGGGGCGGTCGTCGGAGGCGCCGAGCCGGGGGGCGCCCCGGCGCCGGGCTCCGAGAGCCCCGCGCGGAGCGCCTCAAGCAGTGGCGCAGCGTCCTGGCTCGCCCATAGCCCTGCCAAGCAAGGTTCTGAGAACCTCGTGTGGCATCCACGACATGTTCTCAGAGCATTTCTGGCGGGGACTGTCTTGTTTTAACACATCGGGCTATGTCGGGCGTGTCCCCCTACAGGGGGGGATTTTCGACGAAAGATAAACAAAACCCTAAACATACTCCAAAAAGGTCAAACAATAGTCGAACAAGTAGTCCCCAGACTATTTTTGGATTGTTTTTGGGGCATTTTTTATCTTTCGTCGAAACTCCCCCTGTACAGGGGACAGGCCCGACTTAAGCCTGGGAGAGCGTTCCTTGGCCCCGTCGTTGGTTTTCGGGTCATGACTCGGATCTTTGGCGGCCGCTCGGGACGATGCCGAGTCGCAGCTGCCGTGACGCATCCCGAGGCTGGAAGACGTCGAGGCACCGACGCAAACGCCAGAAGTTTCAGAGCTCGAACCTCGAACCTCGAGCCCATCCCCCCTGAGCACGTTGTCCTTCTAAAACCCCTCCTCTTCGGCTCTCCCCGCAGTCTGAGCGACTGGGGCCGCGGGATTGGACAAAAATCAGATCGCGCAGGAGATTTGGCCAGGAGAAACCCAACCACAAGATACCGATACCTTCTGAAAGGTGGAAGCGAGAGGGGGCAGTCCTTCTCAAATGCGGCGAGGCTCCTTCGAAGAAGCCCCCCGGCCTTCTGAGAAGCTCTCTGCGGCTTCGGAGTACCGCTGGTTCCCAGACCTCTCTTGGGCTGCGTTCCGACCAGCATTTCGAGGCGAAGCCAGCGGTGGCGCCGAGGCCGCCCAGAAGGCCCCCCAAATGCGAAAGCGATGCGGGATACCCTGGATGAAGTGGGAAATTCCCCTGCGCGGCCATTGGGAAGCTGCATGTCCCTTGCGCGTAGCCGAGAGCATTGGCTGAACACGACACCAAGCTTTATGAGTGGTTTGGTTCGGTGGCAAATCATGGGAGCCTGGTGTACCCTCTTGATTCCGTCTTTAGCGTCGATTAGCGTCTGGAGTCGATGAGATAGCGTAGGTTAGTGTCGATTTAGCGTCGATGTAGCGTCGATTAGCGTCGATTTAGCGTCGATTCGCAAGAGCCGACAAGATGTTACGCGGGGCTCCCATGATTTGCCACCGAGGGTTGAACACGACACCGAGCTTCTCTGAATGGTTTGGTTTTGCGACGTCATTTGCTTCGGTGTTTCAGGTCTGCGACCCCGTCATTGGGCCTCATCGGAGCATCGCGTCCACCTAGGCCTCCTGATCGGGTGCGAGTAGATTGGGTCGAAGCATCGCTCCGCATTGCCGCTGCGTCGGCAATGCGGCTTGATTTGGAGCCAGAGTTTCTCCGCGTCGACGTCGCCGATGCATCACCGATGCATCACCGATGCATTGGCGATGCGGCGCGAGCCTCCGACCTCCTCCACTCGGACCCCTTTTGGGAGGCCTCTAATCCAGCAGATCCAGCAGATCCCCCTTCTTCTCGGCTGCCACCCCGGGGGGGAAGTGAGAGGGTGCGGGCATTCCCAGAAGGTTCTGAAGCCTCCCAGCCTTCCGAGAAGCTTTCTCCAAGGCTTCCCCGAGGGTAGAACACTTCTCAGAAGGCCGGAGGCCTCCCGAGGAGCCCCGCCGCACTCTGAAGGGGGCCTTCTCCTCCTCACGTCCCCCCTCTCGCTCGCCGCCGATCTTCGGCGCCGCCCCCCGCGTCAATTGAGAACGAAGAGGCCCCCAACCCTGATAACACGATGGAGACGCGGCCTCACTGAGGTCCCCGCCTGCACATTAGGAGTCATAAGTCTGTGCGCTTTGGCCTGGCACATCTGCAGACAAGACCCCCTTGTCCCTAAGGTTCCTGGCCCTCCCAACTTGTAGGTCCCCTGCCAGAGGGTCAGGGATCCTCTTTTGGTGAATCACCTCGGCGCTCCCCTCCTCTGGTCCAGCAGATCCAGCAGCAGCAGCTCCCCTCCAGCAGATCCCTCCGTCAGTCCAGCGGATCCAGCAGCTCCCCCCGGAGGCCTGCGCCGTGCGCGAGGTGCGCCGGCAGAGGCGGCTGCAGGACGGCGACCTCGGCCTGCGCCCCGCCGCCGAGCGCGGCGACGTGGCCGGGGGCGGCGCGGCCGGCGCCGAGGCGGCCGCGGGCGGCGGCAGCAGCCGGTACTTGTCGGAGCTCGGAGAAGAAACGCAGGGGGAGACGTGCTGATACCACCTGCAAGGCTAAGAGTCGAGGAGCCGTGCCGCTTAGGCTACCACCACCACTACCATTGTTATTATCATTATTATTATTAGTAGTACTACTACTACGACTACTACTACGACTACTACTACGACTACTATTACTATTACTACTACTACTACTACCACTACTACTACTACTACTACTACTACTACTACTACTACTACTACTACTATACTACGACTACTACTACCACTACTACTACTACTACTACTACTACTACTACTACTACTACTACTACTACTACTACTACTACTACTACTACTACTACTACTATACTACGACTACTACTACCACTATTGCTACTGCTACTGCTACTGCTACTGCTACTGCTACTACTAGTTCACTTGCTCTTAGTTATACTACAACTACTACTACAAGTATTTCTACTACTACTACTACTGTAGCACTCGTTTCGTATTCGTAATATCACTACTACTGCTACTACTACTGCTTCTACCATCACTTCTATTGCTATTACTACTGCGAGTACTATTATGTCTACTACCGCTACTAATGAGTAGTACTAAAATCATGACTACTAGCACTACTTGCTACGACTGGTACTTCGATGACGACGACTACGACTATCTACTACTATTATCACGTATACGGCTGATACTACTGTTACTACTACTACTACTACTACTACTACTACTACTACTACTACTACTACTACTACAACAGCTACTACTACTACCACCCCACTACTACTACTACTACTACTACTACTACTACTACTACTACTACTACTACTACTACTAGTACTAGTATTACTACTACTACTACTAGCACTACTACTACGACTACTACCACCACTTCAAGTACGACTCCGAGTGCTAGAATTTGTTTCCATCGCTACGCTTATTACTTACTGCCACGCCTCTTTCTTCTACCACTACTGTTACTACTATCACTATTAATACTACTCTTACCACTACCACCATTACCACTACTACTACTACTACTACTACTACTACTACTACTACTATCGCTACAACAAAACGGTTATTGGTAATACTACGATTGTTACGCCCATTCTTTTCACGCTTACGATTGATACTCTTACTGTTACTCCGACTCCCACTACTACTATTACTACTACTATTACTATTACTACTATCGCTACTATTGCTACTGCTACGGGTATGACTGCGACTATTACCGTTTTTATTTCTATTCCTACAGCTGCTACTACTACTGCAACTACAAGTAGCACGTTTCCCACTACGATCGGTATTATGATTAATAGTATTAGGGTTGAGCGCTGCCTGTGAACTGTGTAAAGGTGAAGTATAAACAAGGGAGGTCGAAGTGTACGGTTTCGGGTTATGATTTGGGATTAAGTTCGATACAAGACAAATGCAATGCGGTTCCAATACACACGCAGCACGGCATCAAAACAAGTGCAGCACACATAAGTACAAACACATTGCAAGTACAATGCGCATGCAATGTCGATATGCGCACACTGCAAAAATCAGCGTTTTCCTTTCTGCACGCAGATGATGTTTGAGTTGCCCAACACCTAAAAGAACCGCTAGAAATCGTGATGCGACCCCAACACAAAACCTATTGGAACGCACGTAGCGGTAAAACCTAGGTTCCGCCGGGAATCCTCAAGGTTTCGGCAGTCGCAGCGGTCGCTCGGGAATCTTCGCGGATTTCGCAAGTCTCGCTGGGATTGCTTGGGTTCTTCTATCGATTGGTCGAAGGCGCTCCCAACAAACAGCGACGTTCCAAACCGGTTTACAATCATTATGTCCCGTTGCTGCGCGAGCCTCAAAGCGGAATGGTGTCTTGATTGCGCTGCACGCCTCATTACGCTAGTTAGACGCGTTGCGTCGCACGAACTAAATTGCGCCTCGGCGAAAGCAGTAGTTTTCGTTTGAGAACACCAACGCAGCAATGCTGTTTTCTGATTTTGCAGCTTTTCGCCAGCACGGTCATATTCGCTGGGCATTGCGCACTTGCGTAACACTCGTGGAACACATGTTCATGTTCTTCCTTTACGGCGCCACATACGATATTATGTTCCTCTCATCATATATCTAGTCATATGGAATCTGTGGTTTCCAGAATTTTCACTGGTGCGCCGTTGCGCCAGGGTTTGCCACGTATTTCGCACTTGCAGTCTTTTTTTTGGAAAGTGGCCCGTTTGCCGATGTAATGTTTACGTTTTTTTTTTTTTTTTTTTTTTTTTTTTTTTTTTTTTTTTTTTTTTTTTTTTTTTTTTTTTTTTTTTTTTTTTTTTGTTTTTTTTTGTTTTTTTGTTTGTTGATTTTTTTGTTTGTAAAAAGTATTATTTCAATACCTTTTTCCATATACATATGTATAATTATGTTTCTTTCTTTTATTATATATTAAATTGTACATATAGAAAAAAAAAGCGTATCAGCAAACACACACATAAATCCAACACCAAGTTATTTCATCGGATTGCTCGTCTTTTCTCGCTTGCGCTAGGATGTGGGATCCTGAAGAACCATGTTCCATCCCGATGCACCCGTTCGAATACGGATGAAAAAGGAGGGGTCTGGAAACATCTTGAATGATTGCCGGGACTTTCTGAAGCATCCAGAGGAATTTTGAGACATCATGACGAAATTGGAGAAATCCTTACGGTTCTTGCGGGATCCTACGCGATCTTGAGGACCCCTTCGGAAACTTCAGGGAATCCTCAGGAATCCTAAAGAACCCTTTTGGGATCTGGAGAAACCCTTGGGCGTCCTCCAGAATCCACAGAAGAAACCCAAAGGAACCCTCAGGAATCCTCAGGAGTTCTATCGGAATCCGAGACATCATGGGGGACACCCCCCTTCACTGGGTCGCAGGTAGGGTTTCCCGAGGGAAACTAACAAATCCTAAAGGATCCTCCGGGATCGTGATCCTATCCGAGGATTTTCCCGGAATTTTGAGGAATCCGGCTGGTGTCTGCCGAATCCCGAAGCAAAGGTGCGGGAAAAAGGAAATACATTCTTCCAGATCTATTTGAGAATTTCCATGAATTCGCCCGCATTCACCAAGAATGTAAAAGTGTCTTCAAGGACTCCGAGCGGGTTCTGTCAGGACGATTTGATGAACGCCGGGCCAGAGCGCTGCTCCGACGCCTACCTGAAGACCCGACCAGAAGTGAAGTTTAGAATTACGTTTCTTTTGTATACACTACTAGACCAGAAGTGCCGTTTTGCTTTACATCCCGGGTATTATTGATGTTTACTACATTATTCCTACAGCTAGTGTACTAGTACTACTATCACTACTACTACTACTACAGCACGAACTACTACTATTATTATTACTACTGCTACTACTACTACTACTACTCTTACTCTTAGTACTAGTACGACGACTAATATTACTACTATCACGACGACGACGACTACTACTATAATCGTTACTATCATTACTACTACTACTACTACTACTACTACAACAACTATTACGACTACTACGACTACTACTACAATTCGTAGTAGTAGTAGTAGTAGTAGTAGTAGTAGTAGTAGTAGTAGTAGTAGTAGTAGTAGTAGTAGTAGTAGTAGTAGTAATAGTAGTAGTAATAGTAGTAGTAGTAGTCGTAGTAGTACTACTACTACTAGCATTACTACTACTACTACTACTACTACTACTACTACTACTACTACTACCACTACTACGACTACTACTACGACTACTTCTGTTGCAATTCGTATTGCCACTACTACCACTGCAACTACGGCAAATACTGCTACTACTGTTACTGCCGCTAGTACTGGTACTACCATTACTGTGTATCATTCCCACCACTGCTATTACTGCTTTCGCTACTACGGCTGCGACTACTATTACGACTACTACTACTACTACTACTACTACTACTACTACTACTACTACTACTACCACTACTACTACTACAACTACGGTTGCTAGTGCTACTACGACAAGTCATCCTAATACGACTGCGACTACTACTACTACCTTTTTTCTAGCGTCTCTGTTCCCACCACTACTACTTCTACCACTACGACTACTACGACTAGTAGTGATACAACTACTAACATTACGACCGCTACTACCACTACTACTACTACTACTACTACTACTACTACTACTACTACTACTACTACTACTACTACTACTACTAGTAGTACCAAGACTACCGCTATTACGGTTATGCCTACTGCTACTATTACAACTATTGGTAGTAGGACTACCGCTGCTAGTATTACTATATTACAACTATTATCTTTAATACTGCCACCACCAATGCTAGCATTCCGATCCCCATCATGTCTATTATTACCACTACTGCTGCCACTACTACTACTACTACTACTACTACTACTACTCCTACTCCTACTACTACTACTGCTACTACTACTACTACTTCTTTTTCTTTTCCGACCACATACTATTACTACCACCACAACAAGTACAAGTACTACTTCGAGCACTTCTGCTGCTACTACTCCTACCATTGTTATCATTATTATTATCACCACTACGACTACTCGCTCCACTACGACTACTACGACGACTGCTGCTACCGCAGCTATTGTTAGTAGTAGTAGTAGTAGTAGTACTACTACTACTACTACTACTACTACTACTACTACTACTACTATTACTACCACCTCTATTATTACCTTTACTATTACCACTACGACCGCTACCGCTACTCCTACCTCCTCCTACTACTACGGTTACGGCTACTTCAACTGTTCGTGCTATTACCACGACTAACGTAGTATTCGTTTTGCTACGATCATTACCCGTATCGTTTCTAATGCAATTTTTGCCGCTACTACTTCTATTTCTTCTGCTACGCCTACATATACTACGGCCACGGCTGCTACTGGCACTGCGACTACTACTACTACTACTACTACTACTACTACTACTACTACTACTACTACTACTACTACTACTACTAGTACTACTACTACTACTACTACTACTACTACTACTACTACTGTTGCTACTACTACTACTACTACGACTTCTACTACCACTACTACTGCCACTTCTACAATCACTACCACTGCTACGCCTCCTCCTGCTACTACGGCTGTTACCACGACTACAATTTCTACTACTATCTACTACTATCTACTACGGCTACTACTACTACTACTACTACTACTACAGCTACGATTGCTACTACTACTGCTATTCGTACTTGTGCGACGACGACTATTACTATTGCAACTGCTACCGTTACTACTGCCATTTTCATTATTATTACTACTACCACCACGACCAATATTATTATTTTATTTGCTAAATTGTTGCTGCCGCTCTTGCCATTACTGTAGCTACTACACGTACTATCACTGTTACTAGTACTTGTGTTGCTACTTCTACTGCTACTGCTAGTGCACCGCTACTTCTATTATTACTTCCACTACTGCTATTACTCTTGCTACTTTGATTGCTACTGCTGCTACTACTCCTATTACTTCTACGAGTACTCCTACTACTTTTGCAACAACTACTACTACTGCCCCTACTACGGCTACTACTTCTATTACTAGCACCCTTATTACCACTACTGCTACACGTGCTACCACCACTAGTACTACTACTATTACTGCGACTTCTACTACCACTGTTACTACTACTATTGCTATTACTATGATTACTACTATCAGTTACATCCGATTCTTTTTAGTATGGCTCCAACTATCAGTACCACTACTACTAGTACAACTACTACTGCTACCATTATAACGACGACTACTACCACTATTACTACGACTGTTATCCCTTTGCTACCACTGTTTTTTCATGACTATTGGCTTTGTTACTACTACTACTACTACTACTACTACTACTCCTACTGCTAGTACTACTACCACCAGGACCACTACTCCTATGACTAGTCCTACTACTACCACGACCACGACTACTACCGATACTACTACTACCTTTCTTACTGCTACTCCTATTATTTCTATTAGTAGTAGTTCTACTACTACTACTACTACTACTGCTTTCTGCTGCTACTACTACCCTTACTACTACCACTTTTACTACCACGAGTTCGATTGCCACTACTACTACTACTACTACTACTTCTTCTACTACTACTATTATGATTACTCCCTAATTTTTACGACGACGACATCTATTGCTACTACTACTACTCGTACTACTACCACTACCGCTACGACTGCGACTAGTACAACTGCTATTACTTACTACAGCAACTACTACTACTACTGCTGCTACCACGAATAATATCATCATTTCACGACGAGCTTTTTTATTACCATTTCTATTGTTATCACTAAAATTACTTGCACGACTATTACTATTCCTACTACTGCTATTCGTATGATTGCTACTACTGTGGCTACTACTACCACTACTGCTACTACTACTACTATGACTATTATTACTACCTACACTACTACTACTACACTACTTACTACTACTACTACTACTACACTACTACTACTACTACTACTACTACTACTACTACTACTACTACTACTACTACTACTATACTACTACTACTACTACTTACTACGACTATTACTATTACTATTACTGCTACTACTACCACTACTACTACGACCACTGCTACTGCTGCTACTACCACTACTACCACTACTAGCTAGTACTAGTACTAGTAGTAGTAGTAGTAGTACTACTACTACTACTTCTACTACTACTACTACTACTACTTCTACTACTACTACTACTACTACTACTACTACTACTACTACTACTACTACTACTACAAGTAGTACTACGAGTACTACCAACATTGCTACTACCATTGCCACTTACCATCGTTACTTGCAGTATCGAGCGAATGCAAAATCGTAATTTTTCAAAGGTCGGCGCGGGTCTCTTGAATCGCCGTTGCCTCCCTCTTGGCGTTGCCTCAGGCGCCGCCCCTGGCGTGCCCTTGCGCGCCAAGGGAAGGGGTTCCAGCGCCGACCCACGAAATCCGCGCGGTCCTGTGGAAGTCAGCATCGTCTAAACGATTCCCATCCCCACTGCTTCTTAGTATCTCAGCTCCGCCAGTCCAACCCCAGATGGCGATAGGCCTTGCGAAACTCCGAAGGGAGCACCACACGCAGTTGGGGAAGTCGGCCAGTGCGGCTGGGGCCGCGCCAGTGGGGTTAGGGATCCCTGGAACGGAACGACGTTCCTCAGGATCCTCCAGGATCGTTGTCGTTGTAATCGTTGTGGTCGTCGTGATCTCTGTGATCGTTGAGATCGTTATCGTTTTGATCGCTGTGATCGTTGTCATCGTTGTCATCGTTGTCGTCGTTGTCCTTGCTGTCGTCGTCGTCGCTGTCGTTATCGTTGTGATTGTTGGGATCCAGGCGTGCGCAGGCGTGAGGCCCTGGGATCCAGGGCGTTATGATTGGTGGGATCCCTGGCCCACCCCAGAGGGTGTGCTGTCGGGCCCCTATCGGCGATCCATGTGCGATTGGAGTCGATGTCCCCCCACCGGGAGCCCATCCCCCCCGAACGTTGCCCCTTAGAAGGAGAGGCGGGAGAGCGGGGCCTCACGACGCTGTTATCCTTGCCGCCCCGTGGTCCTCCAGGAGCTGCTGGGCCTCGCGTGCGGGCCGGAGCTGCTGCGCCTGCGGCTCTACCCGGACGCCAAGGCTCGGAGGGCTGGCCCGCCGAGGCCTCGCAGCGGCCTCGGCCCCTGGCGCTCGGAGCGCAGCCTCGGCCCTGGGCCTCCGGGGGCCCTCGCCTTTCGCCGCGGCCAGAGCCGCCTCGGAGCACTGGTCGGGGCTCCTCCTCGGGCAGCGAGGACTCCTCCCTCCTCCCTCCTCCCTCTTCCTCCTCCCTCCTCCTCCTCCTCCTCCTCCCTCCTCCTCCTCCCTCCTCCTCCCTCCTTATCCTCCCTCCTCCCTCCTTATCCTCCCTCCTCCCTCCTCCTTCCTCCCTCCTCCCTCCTCTCTCCTCCTCCTCCTCCCCCTCCTCCCTCCTCCTTGTCCTCCCTATCCTCTCTCCTCCATCCTCCCTCTTCTCCTTCCTTCCTCACCCTCGTCCTCCTCCTCGTCCTCCTCCTCCCTCCTCCCTTCTCCCTCCTTCCTGGAGTCGCCGGGCCCAAGGAGCGGCCGAGGGGCCCGAGCTTCGGTCGGGCGGCAGCGTGGGGGCAGTCCACGCAGGTCGGATTCGGGCGAATGGGTCCTTTGTAATTGCAGAGGGGGTCTCGCCAAGGTGCGCCATGGTTCGTTCGATCGTTCGTGGGGGATGCGCACGTCGCTCAATACCGGCAGGTGGCTGCCACGCGCCATGCGCCACAGGATGAATTATTGCATTTTGTTTTCGCGACCCCACTAGGAAAGACCCCCTTTACCCAGAACCAAGCAGGGAGTGGTCGAGGATTGCAGGAGTCTGGGCCTCCTAGATGGTGTCGGAGTAGCTGGGGTCGGTGGATCGCGCCGCATCGCCGATGCGGCTCGATGTGCAGCCCGATCTGCTTCACGTCGACGTCGCCGATGCATCGCCGACGTCGACGATGTATCGCCGGTGCATCGGCGATACGGGGCGCGATGCTCCCACCCCATCTACTCCGACCCCGTCTAGGAGGCCTCTATAGTGGAGGCCCATGCCAAGAAGCACCCTGCTTGCCTCCAGGGCACCCTGGATTTCTTGTGCTTCGAGAGTTTTTGGCGTTGGAAGGCGTGACGTTCCCACCAAAAATCGATGACCCTTCTGGGACCTCAGGGTTGGGCTTCTTTCAGGAGGGGAAAAAACACACAGACACAATGAATCGTCGATTCTATAGGCTTACGCCACATCCGCCGACCCCTCATCTTGGCGGTCTTGCCGGAACCTCGGGTTCACAGCCCGCAGTTGCCAGGCGTATCAGTGCGGCGGCGCGTGCAAGAGAAGACTACCGACGTCGGCGTTCTCCGGGAACCCTGCCAACGTCGCACGCGATGCAAAAAAGGGCACCCTGATATGCAAGACCTGCAAATGATGCCCAATCGGGGGCGCGCGTGCGGGGGAGGACAGGGGGGAGGGGGAGAGAGGGATGGGGGGTGAGGCGGAGGATGGGGGGAGAAGAATCGGGGAGGAAGAGGAGGAGGCGGGGGAGGAAGAGGAGGAGTGGGCGAGGAGGAGGTGGAGGAGGAGGAGAAGAGGGGGAGGACGGGGACACAGAGACGAAACTCTGGGATATGTGCTATTGGTTAGAAACTTGTTGTATGTGTATAGGGATCTCGCGGCACGCCTCTCGGGGACCTTTGGAAAGCAGTTTTGAACCCACCTGGCGGCCGAGGTGGAGGAGGAGGAGGAGGAGAAGGAGGAAGGGGACACAGAAACAAGGCTCTGGGTTATGGGTTTTGGGTTAGGGCCGTCTTGCACCAGCTTGGGACCAATTTGGAGACAGGTTTTGCCGTCTTGGGGTCGTCTTAGGCCGAATTGGGAGGCGTCCTGGGCCGTGTTGGGATTCTCTGGGGCCGTCTTGAGGCCCTCTTGGGGCGCCGTGGGGCGATCTTGGAGGCTCTTTGGGCTACGTGAGCCGACGGAAGCCGGGAAAGGCAACAATTGCAAACATGTTCAACAACGCAATGGAAATGTAATGAAATGCGTAATGTGCGCCTCTTTCAGATGTCCTGGGGGTCTTCTTGGAGACTTCGTGGGCGATAGTGAAAGCCTTGTCGGCCATCTTGAGGCCATTTTGGGCCGTCTTCGAACGTTCTTGGGCCGTGTTGGAGCCATCTTGGGCCGTTTTGGAGCCATCCTGGGCCGTTTTGGAGCAATCTTGGCCTCGAGAGCGCGAATCATTTTTTTGTGCGCAAACGCAACCCCGCCACCGTGCCTGGGTTGTTGATATGAGACTTGTGCGGTGATCGTTGGGATCTCTTGGGGGGCTTTTCGCGGGACTCTTGGAGGCAGTTTCGAAGCCTCTTGGGGGCCGTTTTGGAGCCTCTTGGGGGCCTCTTGGGGCCTCTTGTGGGCGTCTTGGGGGCCTCTTGGGGCCTCTTGGGGCCTTCTGGGGCCGCCTTGGGGCGGAAGGCTCGGATTGTCGGTTCGGGCTCCCCCTCTTGGGCACCTCTTGGGGCCGTCTTGGGGCCCTCTTGGGCTGTCTTGGGGGCCTCTTGGGCCGTCTTGGCGCCCTCCTGGGCCGACTTGGGCGCCTCTTGGGGGCCTCTCGGGGCGGTCTTGGGGTGCTCTGGGACCGTCTTCAACGCCGTGAAGGCCGAGAAGTAGTATGTGATCAAAATGTACGTTTTCCCATAGGAATTGACGATTTTCGGCGCTTCGGCCCTTCTGAGGACTGCTCTTGGAGGCGTCTTGGGCCGTCTTGGAGGCCTCTAGGCTCGTCTTGGGGGCATCTTGGGCGTCTGGGAGCGCTCGTTTGGCGCCTCGGAGCTCTCGTGAGCCGTCTTGGAGGAGTCTTGGGGCCTTCTTGGCCCGTCTTGATCCCCTTTTGGGCCCAAAAGAGCCCCGTGGTGCGCTCGTCTGCGGCCCGGGGGGGGGGGGTCAAATCTCCGGTTTGGGGTCCCAGGGGGGGGGTTAGGGGGGGGGAACTATCTCACACGCCTAGAGACCCACAAGGGGTCGGCGGATTCCAAGGAAAATATGGGAAAATATGGGAAGTGGGGGGGAAGACGAAAATCCAAAAAATATGGAAAATTATCCCAGTGCGACCCTACCTAGGAGTTGGCGCATCTAGGAAAGCAACATCTACATCTACACCGACATGCTATGCTATGCTGCGCTATGCTATGCTATGCTATGCTATGCTATGCTGCGCTGTGCTGCCCTATGCTGCGCTATGCTATGCTACGCTATGCTACGCTATGCTATGCTAGGGTACGCTCGGCTGCGCTGTGTTCTGCTATGCTATGCTATGCTATGCTATTCTGCGCTATGCTATGCTATGGTATGCTATGCTGCGCAATGTTATGTTATGCTATGCTGAGCTATGCTATGCTATGCTAGGCTATGCTATGATATGCTATGCTGCGCTATGCTATGCTATGCTATGCTATGCGATGCTATGCTGCGCTTTGCTATGCTATGCTATGCTATGTTATGCTAATGTTGCGCTGAGCTATGCTAAGCTAATCTAAGCTAGGCTAGGCTAGGCTAAGCTACGCTAAGCTAAACTAAGCTACGCTACGCTAAGCTAGGTTAGGCTAAGATAAACTAAGATAAACCTGAGCTAAGATGAAGCTAAGCTAAGCTAAGCTAGTATGAAATAAGCTAAGCTAAGATGAGATAAGCAACGCTAAGCTAAGGGGACGTAACCGGGGGAACCGCGGGGCGGATACTGGGGGAACCGCCCGGGGCGAGTTGCACTGCCCCGCCCTTTAAGCATACCGAGTAAGAACCCTTCTAGGCAGTGCCCAGGTAGGGAAATATGGGGATTCCTGTTATTTGTGTGTATTGATTTGCGTGTCCTTGGGCCCCATTCATTCTCGTGGCAGGTTTCTTGTGGACTGGCCTCCACTGCATGCGGTGAACTCCGTACCCGGGGCCTCGCGGGCCGGGCCCCCCGGGCCGGGCCCCTGGCCCCGGGCCCCTGGGCCGTGACCCCGCGGCTATACACCCTAGGCGATGCTTAAGAAAACCTAAGTTTTCGTCCAGGGTCTCGATTATTCTTAACTTTTCAATGTAGATCCCAAGATTTTGATAGAAGTTCTGGGTTTTATTCCATTTCTGAGACTATGAGTTTCTTAACCCATGATTTCTTAAGCATTTCGGAGGGTGTACAGGGAGTTAGTCGGCCACGCGCAGAGGGGGGTAGGGGGAGGGGGGAAGGCTTCTGAGAAGCATCACTGCTTCTCAGAAGGCGCGGGCCTTCTGTATAGACTCTATATACATGTAAGGGGCACCTTCTGAGAAGCAATCCCCTTCTAAGAAGCCTTCCCCCCTCCCCCTACCCCCTTCTGCGCGCCGCCGAGTTACTTCGCGAATGTCCCGCGCGGAACGTGCCCGAGCGCCCGCATATCTGCGGGATCGTGCCCCGGAATCCGGACCGCGAGGGCGTGGAAACGGACGCGTCCGCCGCTCGCGGAGTTAGGGGGTAACATGCGAACTCTACCCCTCCCCCCACGACTTCTGAGGGGGAGGGTGGGGTTCACTTCGTTCGGGAGCAACTGAGCGCAGTGAACCCCACCCTTCCCCTCAGAAATCGTGGGGGGTAGGGGTAGAGTTCGCATGTGGCCCCCTAGGAGTGCTGTGGGGGTGGTGTACGGCTGCCCTCTCTGTGTCGCTTCCTTCTAGGCCCCCTAGATGGGGTCGGAGTAGATGGGGTCGGAGGATCGCGCCGCATCGCCGATGCATCGCCGATGCATCGGCGATGCGGCTCGAGGTGGAGCCCGATTTTCTCCACGCCGACGGCGCCGATGCATCGCCGACGTCGCGGGCGCATCGACAATGCATCGGCGATGCATCGGCGATGTGGCGCGACCCTCTGACCCCGACCCCATCTAGGAGGCCTCCAGAGAGGGCCTCCGCCGTCTGTCTCGGCTGGCCTTCCTCCGAGAGGAGCTCACGGAAAGCTTCGCCGCGTTCCGGGCCGTCCGCGAGCACCTGGGCTCGCAGGAGGGGCAACTCGGCACCAACACACATGCCAGCGGATTCGCATGGGAATGTGGAGCATGCAGGAGGCGGAAAGGGAAGAGACACTCTCAGGACACGTGGGCGATGCGAGCAACGGGGTCGTCTCTGCCGACGTTGGCGCGCTGGCGGCTCGCGCGAGGTCGCGCGGGGGCGCCCCCGCGTCCAGCGCAGCGTGCCGCGCGGGCGGCCCGCAGGAGCCACCGCGGAAGGTCGCTGTGCCATCCCGCGTGCGACCCGTCTTCGAGCGTCGCTCGCATGGACGAGGTATGGTCCTACAGACGGAGTCTGGAAGAAAGTTGGAGAAACGTCGAACAAGAACCAATTACTCCGACGGAAGGACCCGGACGTCCTGGACTGTGTGTCCACTGGTTTGCAGGCCCCGGGGGCCCCTGGAGGCTCGGCGTTCTCGCCGGGCGACGCCAGCGTGACCGTCGTCTGCGTCGGCGACGGCTCCTGCCCGCGCACAGCGGCCCTGTTCGCGTTCCGGACGAAGTGGAGGTCCTCGCTCCTCGCTCCTCCTCCTCCTCCTCCTCCTCCTCCTCCTCCTCCTCCTCCTCCTCCTTCTCCTTCTCCCTCCTCCCTCCTCCCTCCTCCCTCCTCCCTCCTCCTGCTTGGAGCCGGTGGTCTGAGGTGGCCCAGCGCTGGCAGGTTCGAGGTTCTGGTCTCGGAGGCTTTTCGCACTTCTCGGCCTCCGCTGGGGCCGTTTTTGGGCCCCAGGGCCGTCAGAAACGGATCCGGGGTGCGAGGTTGCGCCAGATGGACCCCGGGAGGGGTCGGGGTCTCGATGATGAGCGGATTTGGCCCCTCCCCCCTTTCCCTACAGTTTTTCTGGGGTCCCGACCGCCTCCAACAACTCCTGTATAGGCCTCCTAGATGGAGTCGGAGTAGATGGGGTCGGAGGATCGCGCCGGATCGCCGATGCATCGGCGATGCGGCTGGATGTGGAGCCCGCTTCCCTCCAAGGCGGCATCGCCGATGCATCCTCGGTGTGTCGCCGATGCATCAGCGATGCGGCGGGCTCCTCCCATCTACTCGGACCCCATCTGGAAGGCCTCTGTCCTGCACCTCCTCTGGGGGAGGGGCAGGGAGAGGCGGAGCGGTGAAAGTAGCGCTCCTTCTGGCCCTTCGATCCAGGCGTCGCAATTTCTCCGCCACGGGCGTTTACGCTGGGTGTTTCGGGCCATGGGGCCCTCACAGATCGATGCGGCTCGAGATGCTGCAAAACGACGGGGTCCAGGGCTCTGGTGGTGATTCTTTTTGTTGCGATGCTGCATGCTATTGCAGTGCCAGATCTGAGGGGATTCTAGGAGGGGCTTTGGCTTTCTGGCCGTTCCTTGGATCTGGGTTTATGCCGGGCCTGTCCCTCTACAGGGGGAATGTTCAAAAATAGTTAAAAGATAATATGGGGACGATTGTTGGAGTATTTTTGAGTATTTTGGGGTACTTGTTGTATATTTTTACGCTTTCGCCCAACATCCGCCTGTATGGGGACAGGCCCGACCTGAATCTGGGTCATGGAATCTGCTCGCGGCCGAGCGCGATGACAGTACGGGCCAGCATCAGACCAGCTCTGGGCCCGCGGAGGCATGACAGACCTTGTGGTGGTGGTGGTGGTGGTGGTGTGTGCTTTCCCTCTCCCCGTGTCTCTTCCTGGTCCTCCTCGGGGGCTGGGGGGCATACGTGGGCGGAAAACATAACCGCGTGCCCCGGACAAGGGACACCTTACCCCCTCCCCACTTAAGGAAGGCCCTGGTCAAGACACTTTTGGTCGAACCCGAGCGACCGCGTATTCGCGGGATCGTGCCCCAGAATCCAGACTGCGAGGGCGTGGATACGGACACGTCCGCCGCTCGTGAAGTGCTGTGGGGGTGGTATACGGCTGCCCCCTCTGTGTCGCTTCCCTATAGGTCTCCCAGATGGGGTCAGAGTAGATATGGTTTGAGGATCGCGCCGCATCGCCGACGCATCGGGGATGCGGCTCGACGTGGAGCCCGATGCTGATGCATCGCCGATGCATCGGCGGACTGCAATCGTCGCCCCCACGTCCAGGATCCGTTTGGTCTGGTTGGTCCGGTCCGAGTGGTCCGGTTGGTGCGGTCCGGTTGGTTTGTTCCGGTCGTTCCGGCTGGTTTGGTTGGTCCGGTTGTTCCGACTCGCTGGCCTGGTTGGTCTGGTTGGTCTGCAGGACCTGTCTGACCCAGGTCTGCACTGATGTGGGTCAGTAGAAGCCCGACCCCAGGTTACAGCGGGGCAGTTTCACTGGTGAAGTCGGCTGACGCGAGGGTTCGAAGGTCACTGCGCGTCGCCTGTCGCGGGGCGCGACGCTCGCGAAGCTTGGGCAACCCGGCGCACGCCTTGCCCAAACCTCCAGTTGTCGCAGGCCTAGATGTTGACACCAACACCAATGTCGGCGGTGTGCCTCCACCGAGGGAAGAAGATCCCGATCTCGGTGACGGTGGTAATGATCTGGCTTCCAAGGTGACCGAAGTATTACCACCAACACCGAAATCTAGGATCATCTTCTCCTTATGGAGGCACCCCCCTGCGTTGGTGTTGGTGCCCATTTCCAGGCCTCCAAAGTTGGGGCAAGGCCAGGCACTGAGTCGGAGGTTTCAGCACTGGTGAGCCCTCGGGTTGCGCTGCGCACAGACAGCATCCCCAGGCAGCCCCTAACTTACCCTGCCAGTGTTGGGCGGAGATCCAGCAGCTCGCTCTCACAGGGTCGAGCAGCTCGCCGCACTCTGAGGCCTCTAACGCCTCAAGAGCCTCCGATGGAGCCATCCACAGCAGAAATTCTTGTGGGGTGGCCTGCTTGCGAGCATCCCCAGGCAGCCCCGGGGCTTAAAAGGCCCCGTGTCCCTGGGCCAGGGAGGAGGAGGAGGAGGAGGAGGAGGAGGAGGAGGAGGAGGAGGAGGAGGAGGAGGGGAGGAGAGGAGGAGGAGGAGAGGAGGAGGAGGAGGAGGAGGAGGAGGAGGAGGAGGAGGAGGAGGAGAGAGGAGGAGGAGCAGGAGGAGGAGGAGGAGGAGGAGGAGGAGGAGGAGGAGGAGGAGGAGGAGGAGGAGGAGGAGGAGGGGGAGGGGGAGGAGGGGGAGGAGGGGGAGGGGGGGAGGAGCAGGAGGAGGAGGGGAGGGAGGACAGGAGGAGGGGAGGAGCAGGAGGAGAAGGAGGGGGAGGGGGAGGAGGAGGAGGCCACGTTTGCAGGCCCACCCCGGAGAGCTCGCTCCCCCCCCGGAGGTGCCTCGCCGTCGACCCGCAGATGCGGGATCCGGGGCAGAGCTGGGGGGGCGTGGAGCGGCTGGAGGCCGTCTGCGCCAAGATCGAGGAGCCCTTTTTTCTCAGGGGAGGCAAAGGTGACGAGCCTGTTTTCCACCACCACCACCATTAGTTGGAGGGGGAAGGAGGAGGAGGGCGAGGAGGAGGAGGAGGAGGAGGAGGAGGAGGAGGAGGAGGAGGAGGAGGAGGAGGAGGAGGAGGAGGACCCCCCCCTCCAACTTATGGTGGTGGTCGTGGAAACACGCCCAGCAGAAGGGGCCCATGCCGCTGGGTTTCTTTCGTCTTCCCCTTTTTTGGGGGCCTCCTGGTTCTTCCTCCCGGTTGGTTTTTGTTGGCAGTCCCGGCCCTGGGAATCGGGAGCGAAAGCAGGCCGTGCATTTGCATGCATCTGCGCTGGCTTCGAAAGAGCGCATTGCGCAAGCGTTCGTATGGGGCCGTGTTCCTCCTCCTCCTCCTCCTCCTCCTTCTCCTGTCCAGGAGTGCAGGTACTCCGCGGAGAGGCTGCTGCTGGTGTGCGTGCACGCCCACGTCGGCCTCCCCGAGTGCCTGGGCGCGGTGGAGTGGACGCACGCGCTCGGCATCGTGGCCATTCACTACCCATCAAGCCACCCCAAGCAGACCCGAAGGCCCCGAGTTGCCCTCCATTCCCATTTGGGGTGGCGTCCATGGACCCCGTGCCCCCCCCCCCCCGAACCCAGAATCGGGGACTTCGGGTTGGGTTCGGGTGGTCTGGTGAGTAGTCAGCC